GCAACATAGTTTTGCCAAATGTCGCTCCATTCTGCTTTACCATGATCCTATGTACCTGATCCCTTCCGTGCGTCTCTGAATTTAGGGATATAGGGATATTACTTTGGGGACTCTTCCTGGGTTGCTGTTAAGGCGTTGAAAATACGTTACTATGAGGAGGAAACCCTAATAATTTACAACAAACCCAAGTTATCATAACTTCAGTTCCTCAACAGCAACCCAGCCACCGGCCCGTTGGTGTCATCAACGACTGGATGTGAGGTTGCTGTCGTCGCGAAGCTGGCGCTGAGCAGGCGCAGGCAGATGTCAGCAGATACATGTGGGGCCACACGGACCCCCACGAGCAGCAGTACGGCACACACTCCGTGTAAGAGCTGGCCCCACAAAATTACGACCAGAAATACCGGAAAGCACAGAGGATTGCAGGGGGGGCGCTGTGGCTCATCCGATTCAGATTCGATGGAAAATGACTCCGGGGCCGTCATGAGCGCAGCATTCTCCCTGCTCATGCTGGCGGAAGTTATGGGATCCTAAAGGGGGGAGTGGTTCAAGGGGGGAGGGCACAAGGGAGCCTTGGGGAACCTTAGGGAAGCTTNNAAGCTTAGGGAGTATAAGGGAATAATGGGAATACTAGGTTACCTACCCCCTTGGACCACCCCCCCTTAAGGACATTCTAAGGAAGCTTTGGTCCTCAGCCTTTGCAGGCTACCTGAAGCGAAGCTTTTGCTGATGAAGGGTATCGCCTTGTCATAGACGGATGCGCATGACTGCAACAGAAGACCTTGTATGAGCTGGAGCCCAAGCAATCGGAGCCGCGACTCTGACATATGTACATGCCGTGCGCAAACATCCTCACACAGACACCGTGTACGTAACCCTAAATGCCTAAACGTGCAACCCGACAATTCAAGCCCCCCTGCCTCGAAGCCTTGCCCATAATGTCCCTTTATACCCTGATGTCTCCCAATATTTCCCCCTGTATGGAAATAGGGGGCCCCAATGTATACACCCCATTATACCATACGGATTATTATAAGAACCTCTGAGAACGGCTCCGTTTGCTTGGAAGCCCAAATACCCCAAACCCTAAAATCCGGACCGATAGTATATTGGGTTCAGGGTTTAGGGTTATATAGCCCTAAACCCTATACATCTCGCATAGAATCCCTTGCGAAACCCCTTTCCCAGACCCTAAACCCTAAACCCCTAACCCCTAAACCCTAAACCCTATAGTCTGAGGCGGCAGGCAGCTGGGAGTAGATTCCAGGTATCCAGGCCATACCGCCCAAGAGCAGAGCCTTCCAGGACCCTCCTTGTGCCCTTAATTGGGGATATAGGGTTTAGGGTTTAGGGTTTAGGACCCTCCTGGTGCCCTTAATTGGGGATATATGGTCCCTAATAGTAGGTACTTAGGCCTTAATAGAGGGTAGGAGGAGGGTCTAGGTTCATTGGGTTTAGGGCGTGGGGTTTAGGGTTTAGTGTAAGGTTCAGGGTTTAGGTGTGGGGTTAGCTTTAATGGTGGTTTAGGGTTCAGGTGTTTCGTTCAGGGTTGGGAGGGTTTAGGGTTGGGAGGGTATTGGGTTTAGGGTTTGGAGCTTAGGGTTGGCGAGTTCAGGTTTTAGTGGTGTTTAGGGATTAGGGCAATATCAATACTACCAGATGCCATGGTGATGCTCTGTAGAATGCTACTGTATCACAACTCAGCTTGAACAGGCCCTTCAACTAGTTTGTTTTTGTAGGTTTAGGGTTTGGGGTAAGCATGCTCTGTAGATTCTTTAGACACTCCCTGCCTTAGTGTGAAGGTGCTTAGGGATTTGGCCTCGTATAATATCCTAGCCTGCACTCTCTACGTATCTGCACTAAGCTAAAGCCCAAAACCTGAAATCCCCTTAAATCCCCCAAACCTTGAAAACCCTGGAAACCTCTGGTATCTCGAACCTATATGCTTCAAAACTCCTAAAGCCCTGAAACCCAAAAGACCCTTCACACTGATGAAACCACTACAAAAACCTTGAAACCCTCCAAGCACCCAAAACACCCCAAAACCCTCACATCCCTGAAGCTCTGCGTTTACGGTTTAGACTCCGAGGGCCTCGAGTAGCCTGAGGGGACGTAGATGAGCTCCACAGGAAGCGTCCCGTTGAGGGGAAGCTCGCAGACCTGGCTTGGGTGCAGGATGTAGGGTGCAGGGTTTAGGATTTAGGGTTTAGGGGATACAGAGGCAGGGAAAACTTAAGTTATGACCAAGAAACTAAGACCTGAGAATTTAATGGAAAAGAAAGACGAAGTTACACGGAACTGGGATTGTACAGTGGTGTCTAGCGTTTAGGGCTTTGCTGGGGGGGAACCCTCAAGTGATAACCACCAAGGACCCACCATAAACCTATTGTCTTCTACAACTACGTACTGGAAAAGAAAGCATTAGGGCTTCGCAATATACTGGGTTGCTGTTAAGGAACTTAATTCAAGTTACTATATCGGGGAAACCCTATTAATTACTACTATATATGCAATTATAGTGAATTAATTTAAGATCCTTAACAGGAACCCAGTATACCTACCGAGGCGATGGAACCGCATTTACGGTGTTACGGTTTTGGGATTTGGGGATACGGTCCATCCGTGAACCTTAAACCTGAACCCTAAGCCCGAGACCCTAAACCCGAAACCCTAACCCTCAGCCCTAAAGCTCAAATTCCCAAAACCCTAAAGCCCAAATCCTAAACCATAAACCCCAAACCCTTAACCGTGTTCTGGATAGGTATCAGCGTGAAGGTTTTTATGGCTTCAGGCTTTCAGGGTTTAGGATGTGTATATCTACGAGATGGGGTGTAGGGCTTTGAAAATGGCAGGAGCAGTATAGGGCTTGCAATGGTTTAAGCGTTTAGGATTTAGGGTTTAGGGTTTCAAAGGTTTCAGGGTTTCGGGATAATTGGAACAAGTACTGCTGTCGTAGTCGCAGGTACCATGGCCACATGTATGTGGTCCAGGAGGAAGAGGAACCCTAAATCCTAAACCCTAAACTCTAAACCCTCAATCCTCAACCCTAAACCCTAAATCCTAAACTCTAAACTCTAAACCCTAAATCCATCCACATTTTGCTCTTTGGGTGGGCCAAGGTTCGTCTCAAGGAGTGGAAAGCCCATGTGTCCTACAAAGGCTGGAATTCTCCCCAGAAAAACTACCTGAACCCCCAAAAGTAGGTAAAATAATGGTTCAGAATCCTGAAATATAGTACAAAAGGCCATTATGCTACATACTTTGGGAGTCTAAACCCTAAACCCTAAATAATGTTGTAGTTTCCATTCTCTTTTCCATTATTCTGCATACTTTCGGGGTTCAGGTACCTCTAACACCTCTGAACTTTCAGTTAGTTTCAGCTTGACTTCAAATAGGGATATAGGGGTTATGTAGGGGATATATTGGGATAATGGAGAAGAAAATGGAAACTACTGTTACGCTTTTTAGGGTTTAAGGTTTTGGGTTTCTAACTCCCCTTTGTATGGTCATAATTCAGGTTACAACTACCCTAAACCCTAAACTCTGAATCCTAATTCCTAAGCCCTAGGCCCTTAGTACCACTACCCAAAGCCTACACTCTACCCCTTAAACCCTAAACCCTACGCCCTTACTACCATAAAAAGCCTTGGTCTAAACTCCTAGCATTCCCCTTAATAACCCCCATAGTAGTCCCCTATACAACCATCCGTTATGAAGTTTAGGCCCTAAACCCTATAGAACCCTATAGAATCTCCTATATAATCCCCCTTTGAGGAGTTCAAACCCTAAGCCCTAAACCCTATGCAATCCCCTAGAAAACCCCCGTTCAAGGAGTTTAGATCCTAAACCCCAAACCCTGTTTTGAGGAGTTTAGACCCTAAACCCTAGACCCTAAACCCTATGTAATCCCGTATATAAGCCCCCTTGGGGGAGTTTAGACTATAGCCCATATGGTCAGAATTGGGTCGTGTCAGCTATCCCTCTGAGAGCGCCGCTGCAGGCCAGGCACAAAGGTCCACATCCGTCCTAGGGGTTTAGGGTTTAAGAGTTTAAGGACTTAGGGTTTACGGGTTCAGGGTTTAGCGTTTTAGGGTTTAGGGTTTACGGGCTTACGGTTTAGCGCGACTAAGGTTCAAACCATGGGCTTAACCGTGGGGTCCTTAGAGACCAATGAGATACCCTATGTGTACCCGCAAGGGTGCCTAGAGTCCCCCTAAAAGGCCTAAGGGCCCTTATAAGGTGCCCATACTTCCAAGCTTAGAATTATGCCAGGACCAGCAGGTTAGGTAATATTAAGCCCCCCCTCTGATATTCAATCTTCAAAATCTGGGTTAAGCCCCCCCTCCCCCAATAATATTGAATCTTCAAAATCTGGGTACACAGCAGACGAAAGCATGCAAACAAAGATTACAGTTTGTGAGTAAACTCCCCCAAACTAACATGGAAACCCATATAGTCCCCCTTTAGAGGAACCGTAGTCTTTATAGGGCCCTTTTGGGTTTCCAT